GATTGCATATCTGCTGAGACTATTCCTCTTTGCTTCTAGAGTACAGAATCTGAAGTAGCCTATAGGGGGGAATCGATATGTGTGGCGATACATGCTTGACAATATATTAAATATAATGGAAGCATTTTTGGTAGATTTTCCACAAATGCCTGATGACAAGGTTTCAAATGTCATTAGTATGAATAGTATTACTTGTTAGCAGTTGTAATAGTATTTATTATTGCGGTGATCAACAGTGCTTTTTTTTTTTCTGGGTGCTACACGTGTGTGTGGGGCTTGCATTCTGTCAAAATGAGGGATCTGCTAGATTGCTTGTCCAACGAGACTTTGCCTTCCTAAACTAGTAATCTTTAAAGAGAAGCTGTGACAATGAGTATGATGTTGTATATAAAAGCCCAAGACCAATGATTATTAATTTTGCAAGATCATGCATATGAAAATAGCATTAGGAAAAACGAGGATAAGACTTGTCAACAGGTATCTTGGGAGGAAAACATCTAGTCACACTATTATGAGTGACCAACTAGTATTTATAGGAGTACAAACCTAACAGACTATTTACAAGAATACCCTTACTAATTTATTATCTATAAGAATACTAATATTCTCCTAACACTCCCCCTCAAGTTGGAGCATATATATCATAAGCACCCAACTTGTTACAAATATATTTCACCCTAGAACCCCCTAAACTCTTAGTAAATACATCAGCCAATTGATCTACAGACGGTACATGAGATGTCTTGATGACCCCGTCAAGCAATTTCTCTCGAATGAAATGACAATCAACTTCAATATGTTTTGTCCTTTCATGAAACACTGGATTAGACGCAATATGAACAGCCGCCTGATTATCACACACTAAATTCATAGGCTGTTTATGTTCAAACCCAAGTTCCAGTAACATGCTCTTCACCCAAACCAACTCACACACAGTGTGAGCCATAGCGCGGTATTCAGATTCTGCACTTGATCTGGATACAACTGTTTGCTTCTTACTCTTCCACGACACTAAATTACCACCAACAAACACACAATATCCTGTAGTCGATCTTCGATCTGAGGCAGAACCAGCCCAATCTGCATCACTATATCCTTCAATATCATTGTGTCCATGATTTTGATACAGCAACCCTTTTCCAGGAGCATTTTTAAGATACCTGAGAATCCGTATAACAGCATCCCAATGACTAGTACGAGGGGTATCAAGAAATTGACTCACAACACTCACTGCAAACGAAATGTCAGGTCTCGTTACAGTGAGATAATTTAATTTACCCACAAGTCTTCGATATTGCTTAGGATCATCAAGTAATGCACCTTGATCTCCTGCTAATTTCACATTGGGATCCATAGGAGTATCCACAGGTCGGCAACCTAACATCCCAACTTCACTCAACATATCGAGTACATATTTTCTTTGACATAAATAAATCCCATATTTAGACCGAGCTACCTCAATACCCAGAAAATACTGTAGATGACCTAAATCCTTTGTCTGAAAGTTTGCCTGCAGATTGGATTTAAGTTTCTGAATCCCCACAACATCATCACCTGTAATCACAATGTCATCCACATAAACAACTAATAAAATTTTACCAGCATTAGAATGCCGATAAAATACAGAGTGATCTACTCCACATCTTGTCAGACCGAACTCCATGACAACACTACTAAACCGGCCAAACCAAGCCCTCGGGGACTGTTTCAATCCATATAAGGATTTTTTCAAACGACAAACCAACCGCGGATTCTCCCCCTGAACAACAAATCCAGGAGGTTGTTCCATATATACCTCTTCTTCCAAATCTCCATGCAGAAATGCATTTTTCACATCCAACTGATGCAATGGCCAATTATAAGTTGCTGCCAAAGAGATAAGAAGACGGACAGAGGTAATCTTTGCAACAGGAGAAAATGTTTCTAAATAGTCTACTCCATACACCTGAGTAAATCCTCTAGCTACCAACCGAGCCTTCAATCTATCAATAGAACCATTAGGCTGCACTTTTATAGTGTACACCCATTTACAACCAACAACAGGCTTACCTGAAGGACGAGGGACAAGATCCCAAGTACCATTTTGTTCCAAAGCAGACATCTCTTCTTGCATAGCTAATCTCCAACCAGGATGATTAAGAGCATAGGTAATAGACTTAGGAATAGAGATAGAATCAAGAGAAGCAACAAAAGAAGAATATGACATAGAGAGACGAGAATAAGAAACAAAATTAGAAATAGGATGGGAAGTACAATGTCTCTTACCTTTGCGTAAAGCAATAGGAAGATCTAACTCAGAGGAGGGCGTCATACCTGGATTTGAAGATTGAGAGTTAATTGGTGAAGTGCGTGGCATATCAGGAACTTTCTCAACCATGGAACGACGAGAGTAAACTTGAAGATGAGGACGAGATAATCGAGCTATGGAATCTGGTGGACTAGACAACTCAGGTAATAAAGGGGAAGGGACTGGTAAAACAGGAGAGGAAAAAGAGGGACACTGGTCTAATTCACAAGACATACTTTGCTTGATAAAATACGGAGTGGATTCAAAGAAAGTAACATCAGCACAAGTAAAAAATCGATTTAAAACTGGACTGTAACATCTATACCCTTTTTGCGCTCGTGTATATCCTAAGAAAATACACTTAATAGCACGAGAATCTAATTTATCCACCCCGGGAGCAAGCTGATGAACAAAGCACACACATCCAAAAATACGAGGAGGCAATTTAAACACAGATTCATGAGGAAAAAGAATGGAGTGAGGTAATTGACCTCCAAGAATATTAGATGGCATGCGATTAATTAAATAACATGCAGTTAGAATTGCATCACTCCAAAATTGTTTGGGCACATTCATGTGCAACAATAGTGTTCGAGCAATTTCGATTAAATGCCCAATTTTTCTTTCAGCAACTCCATTCTGTTGTGGAGTGTGAGGACAAGAGGACTGATGAATAATACCAGACTTAGTCATAAAGGTATTAAAAGGAGTGGAAAAATATTCTTTCGCATTATCACTGCGAAGTATACGTACAGGCACACCAAATTGATTCTTTATTTCTGTAACAAATGCACAAAAAATGGAATATAATTCTGAACGATCTTTCATTAAATAAAGCCATGTAACTCTGGAAAAATCATCAACAAAGACTACAAAATATTTAAAACCTAACTTTGAAGTGACTCGACTAGGACCCCAAACATCAGAATGAACTAACAAAAAAGGTTCAGAAACCCGTTTATTGACTCTAGGAGCAAAAGAAACACGATGATGCTTTCCTAACTGACAAGACTCACATTCTAACGAAGATAATTGATTCAAAGTAGGAACCAACTTTTTCAAATTTTGTAAAGACGGATGACCTAAACGACAGTGAATTTCAAGAGGAGAAACAGTAGCAGGACATGCTATCGGACCATTGAAGTTGAGAAAATAAAGACCATTATGCTCATGCCCTCCACCAATCATCCTCTTTGTCTTCAAATCCTGAATGACAACAGAATCAGGAGAAAAAGTAACTGTACACTGTAGAAATTTAGTGAGCTTACTAACAGACATTAGATTAAATGGCAAATTGGGTACGTAAAGAACAGAAGACAGCGGAAGTGATGGATTAATTTCTACAGTGCCTAGTCCTTTAACTTTAGTAGTAGATCCATCAGCTAAAGTAACATGAGGAAAGGGAGTTGACTCTTGAAAATTAGAAAAAATTTTAGAGGTACCTGACATATGATCAGTAGCCCCGGAATCAATAATCCATGGGTCATTACCTTTTTGTGCTAAAGAAGCAGAGGGAAGAGATGCGTGATTTGTAGCTTGGTACTGTAGGAATTTAACATAATCTTCCTCAGATATAGTAACAGTTTTCTGGGACCCATGTGTTGAAGAACTTGATTCAACTTGGTCAGTGATAACCGTATTAACAAACCTTTCAACCATAGCGAATAGCACGTCAAACGAAAGAACGGGTCAAAACTTGAGACAAACGCGTAAACAGTAACGGCATGAACAGTACTACGTGAACAGTATCGGCGTGAACAGTGCCGTGAACAGTATACGTGAACAGTGCCGCTATGAACAGTGCGGCGTGAACAGTGATTTGCTAGATGTTTTACCCTAACCCTAGGACTTTTGCTCTGATACCATGTCAACAGGTATCTTGGGAGGAAAACATCTAGTCACACTATTATGAGTGACCAACTAGTATTTATAGGAGTACAAACCTAACAGACTATTTACAAGAATACCCTTACTAATTTATTATCTATAAGAATACTAATATTCTCCTAACAAGACTAAATAAAGGTCAAAAGGAGAAAGTTGAGGAAAGATGATGATGCATCTCTGGTCTTGGCTTTTTCATTGTAGTTCAGTGCCACATCAGAAGGGAAAAGTTAAAATTTAAAGATGAGGCAAACTAGAGGACCATAGTTGATTTATGTAGAAAAGGGAAGTTAAAGCCTTGATTTTGTCCTCCTTTATGCTCGTAGAGTTGATTTGAGAGAGATATTTGTCGTGTTCAAGAATTATTCATTGCTGTGGACTCGTTGTATCTTGATGTCTGACTTGTCAATTTATCTAAAGTGAGGGAATGCTAGGTAATTTTATTTGACTGGTACTTAAATATCTTTTCTTCTTCTTGTACAGGATGTTCTGTTGCAATTTCGAGCTGGCAAAATGCGTATGGAGGGAACACAGGTTGTTCCGGATTCACGTAAAGGTCTTGTTTGCATAGGAAGGGTATGAATCAAGGAACTGACTTAAGACTACTCTTGCTCTTTTCTTTTGTCTGGTTGAATTTTAAAGCATTGATCCATGAAGTCTGCATTTTTGTGAGCCTATGATTTGAGCTGATTTTACACTTGTTAACATTTCAAGTTGTGGATTTCCTTCTGATACTGTTCTTATGTGCCTGTTTTAGGGTGACGAGGGACTTATTCACTTTCAATGGGTTGATCGATCAAGCAATGTTGTTGAAGATGTATCCTTTGTAATTTTTTGTACTGTGAAGAGTACTGTTGTTGGTGATCTTGTGGCTCAACTTTTCTTTGATCATGGTTGTGCTTTTCATTTCCTTTATTGATAGGGTTGCTATGACCTAAATCATAAAAAACAGTGTTGGGGCCATCTTACATGGCTTTCTTTGTCTTGGTCATTAATGTTGAAACTGGTTTGATGTTGTTTTAACTCGATGAAATGCAAAGGGAATATAGCAGGCTTTGGCTTGGTATAGTTTGTAAGATATGGTGTGACAATGGCACACTAGGTTCCTTATACTTGGAAATAATTGGGAAATGTATGCAACTCTTTCTCCTTTTAGCGCATGTGTAGAAAACTTGGTTTTTGGCGATGAAGGTTAGTCATGTATGTTTAGTGAGACTCAACTACTATGGTACCAGCTGTGATGCAAAGTCTGGAGCTTGACAAAGTTTGGATAATGTCTGCACTTTGCCAAGTTGAGTCCCTTTAGTACCACCTTCTTTTATCAAATGTGAAGCATTACTTGAACAAGCCTCTTTGTATGTATACTAGATGACGAGTTTGAACACTCAATACCCTTGAATGCTCTTTTCTAGCCTTGCACACTTGTGATTTGCTGGAGCTTTATTCTTTAACAGTCATAATTGTAGGATCAGATTGTCTTTCCGGATGAAGCTGTTTTTGTAAAGGTACATCTTTTTAAATGTTTTATTGTTTCTAAACAGATTTGTGTGAGATAAGATCCTGATTATATTACTTCACCCTTTGTTGGACTACCTAGGTCAGTCAATCATCAGGAAGGGTCTATATTTTGAAATTTCAGACAGATGATAGGAAGTTATTCTTCTGGATGCAGGTTAGTTTTTTGTGCTTTTGGGGGATGTTGTCAGTTTTATATTTTTGTATCCTGATCTTTTTTATTGCTTGCTGTTGGTTCCAGGAACCAAAAGCTGACAATGATGCTCAACTATGTAGCCAAGTGAATCTGTACCTCAATCAACCATTAGGTACTGAATTCTCTATATTTGTTTATTTTTACTGCAAATTCCATGCTGGACGCAAATTGTTTCGAAATCTCCTTGACACTTACCATGATGAGAATCAATATTTTGGCACATGTCCGGCCAGCTTCTCTGTTTCATGCACAGTATGTGTTCTTCTTAATGACTCGTCAGTTATGACTTCAGTTTCAATCCTTTGCAATACCTTTCTGCTCTTCTGGTTGTGTCAATTCCTTACTATTTGTGTTCTTTGAACAAATAACCTCAATTACAAAGTCTCTTATGATCTTATTTGCTCTCTTTCCATGAGCTATCACTTTGGTTCTACTCAGTGAACGCCTTTAATGTCTTACCTTTTCTTCTTGAGCCATGCCTGCTCTTTGTTGATCCACTTGTTTTCCTCATAGAGTACACCAGTAGAGCAGTGCATATCTCCAGGATAGGCTAGCAAATGGGAACAATTTCTCTTCTAGTTACTTCTGGCTTGTTGAGCAACTGTACGAGGAATTTGACGGGTTGAATGGTGCTTGAAATATTAGACTTTATCATCACACTTATGTTATTTTAACTATGCTAATTAACCTTAATCCATTCAAAGTGCTCCTCCATCCTTTTCTTTTGGTTTGGCTCTTTAAATTGTTTGACATCTCTTGGGTGACCGTAGTTGTTGCCTGTTTATTATTACATTTCTAGCATGACCTGGGTGGAAATTTGAATTTATATCTGTCAGATTTTCCTGGTGAGGAGGAACCTGATGCTTCAGTTCCCCAACCATCTGAAGACATGGCTGAAGAAGAAGATATTTCATCTAGGTAATGCTGGCATCAAAAAAGACCATTTAACGTTTTGGTTTGTGTATAAAATATCTTTTTGTATAAAAAAGATTAGTATCTTTGAATATTGATACTAACAAGAAAGATGAGAGAAATTGGACCATTGTGTGTTTTACCTGTAAACTTGATTTTGAGGGGTTCCCCCCCCCCCCAACAAAAAAAAACCCCATCCAAATGGAAAAGTGTAGAATGTGGTGGTGTAGTCATAAGTCTGCTAATTTAAGGAAGATTTCTTGTTGTTACACTTTCTGGTGCCCCAGTCATAAAGGACAAAAGGCAGGATAGCTGATTTAGTTCATGCAACGGTTCAGATGGAGGTCAAGGCACCTGGGGTGGTTGTTTAATTCAACTATTTGTCTATATCAGTGCTTTGGTTGCTGAGAGATTGCTTTGGAAGAAAGTACTTTGAGTTCTTCTTTGCATCAAGATGAAGTGTGTTCTTCAAGTAACTTCTTGAAGATGAGGAACATGACAAAAATCTGTTTGAATTTTGATTGCTAGGAGAATTTCTACTGTTCTTGTTTTGTAACAAGCACTAAAATGTTCATCTTATAGGTTAGCATGGGGTTGATGCCCTGTCTGTTTTTTGAAGCAGTTCGTTAGTTGAAGCAACATGAGAAAAGTCTAGGAGTGAGAAAACATGGACTCATTGGATTGATTGTTGAGACACTTAATGCTTTTCATTTTGACTATAACCTCATTATCTGTATCAATTTAGTGAGTAGAAATCAGAAATTCGTTCTAATTGTGTGAACACTAAAACAAGTGTATCCTTATTCTTTATTTCTGCACTTCTGTGTATGTTAGTGATCCTGTTATGAACTGATGTGTTAAATACATACATCCATAAAAGAGTCTTGGTTCATCAAGCTGCATTGTCGCTGCACAAATGCTCACCTGTGTAAAGAGTACACAGAAAAATTACCATGTTCCTACACAAAATGGACTATTTTGTAATTCTTGTGAGGCCAAGATATGATGATCTACAAAGAAGAATTCTTGTCTGCTTAGAAATTTTTGGTCTCCTTTATTAGTACTACTATTATTGTGGCATTTATTTGTAAAGTTATTTATTAACAAGGAGCAATGTTAAAAATTTTTCTTGGGATACATGAAATCTAATGTTATTACACTGATGAAACATTACTTTTTCCTGTCATCTTGCAATCTAATGTGTACTTTCCATGTACTTTTATGTTAATTTTGATAGCTATAATTTTTTTGTAACATTCCAATATGCATTTTGGATTTGCTATTGGCTCATGATTATTGTGATATTCTTGGTAGGGCTGGAAATTTGGTTGGGCCAAGCATGGGTGCAGAAGCAAGTGGTGATGTAACCTCATCGGGACCAGTAAAGTTGGCTGATTTACAGAGAATATTGAGTAACATAGGGTCTGCAGGTGATACTCTCCTGCTTTTGTGCAGTTCTTTTGGCATGGAACTTCTGCTTTTTATTAGTATTAACTCTTGTGTAATGCTCCTCTGATGGTTGATGCATAGGTGAAGCTGGAGATCCAGATGCAGGTAAGAACTTGTTTGTTTTTCTATGCTAAGTATGTATCTGTATGTGTTAATGATCTGTTAAAAGACCAAAGGATCAATAATGCACTTGGTAACTGTGATACGGTGGAATAGATTTTGGAAATTTTTGCTCCATTGAAGTTGTTATGTGTAATTGAAATGTTAGCATGTAAAGCATTTGTATTTAAAATCACGTCTGGTTCATGGATTTTTTGCTGAGTCTTGGAAAAGGGCTTTTATGCTACACGAGTTGTTTGAAATCATTTTGCTGTTTCTGTTAGATTTCTCAAAGTTTGCTTTTTCAAATTTCAAATTTTTGGAGCAAAAAGGTGCTTTTGCTGTTTCTTGTTTTTTTGAGCAAAAAAGGGTTTTCTTTTCTTTTTTTTTTTAATTTTCATTTTGTTTGGTCTTTTAGCTTTAAAGAGATTTACACCTTGTTTGATAAGTCAGTTCAGTACTTAGCCTTGTTTGATAAATCAATTCAGCACTTAAAATTAATCTTAATGGATTCAGATCTTAATATATTCAGACTGTTTGATAACCAAATATAGAGTATCTGAATTAATTAAGTGGCACGGAATTTCCTAAATAAAACTTGTTCCCAAAATTAAGTAATAAGCTATTTACTTATCACTGAATGTGATATGCACTCAAATGTATTAGATTTAATGTTTAACAATTCAATAACTTAATGAATTCAGATTTCAGATTTTAAATTTTAAACTTCAATTTTATCAAACACATCTTTAATGGATTCCGATCTTAACATATTCAAACCGTTTGATAACCAAAAATTGAACATCTGAATTAATTAAGTGGCATTGAATTTTCTAAGCAAAACTTGCTTCCAAAATTAAATGATAAAACTATTCACTTATCACTGAATGTAATATTCAATCAAATGTATTAGATTTAATATTTAACAATTCAATAAGTTAATGGATTCAGATTTTAGATTTTAGACTTCAGTTTTATCAAATGCACCCTTAGTTTTCGTTTGATAAAACTGAATTTGAATACTAAAACAATTAATTTACTGAATTTTAAGTACTGAAAGAAATATATAAATGTCTGAATTTTAATGTTAAACCTATTTATACTGTTGGATAAACATTTATAATTGAATGCTTAATAAGTTAAATTTGACAATTTTGCCCTTATATCTTTTCATCCAAAAAAGAAATAAAACCTATGATTTAATTAGCTTAAAGTTGTTAGGTATGAAAATGACAATATTTATTTTTAAATCAAATTAATATGAAAGATGAAATATATTATATGAGGAGTATGGAGATGATGTGAAAGTCATTAAAAAGGGAGAAAAGAGAAATAGAAAACCCTTGGATAGAGAATAACGAGTTGTTTAATTAGATAAGAATTGTAAACATAATTAACAAATAAGGGTAGTTTTGGTAAGGTAGTTGAAGTAATTCAATTAATTCTTATCAAAATTAAGCACTCAGTTAGGATTATTGTGCTGAAAAAAATACACACAACTTCAGCATTGCATAACAAGTTCAGCAGATGGATTTTTATTTATCAAACACTCAAAACATCTGGATGTCTGAAAAAGTTCAGTTTCAGCACTTTCTAATGTTATCAAACAAACCCTTAGTCTCATATGTAAAGCAAGTTTTTTTAAAACTGCTTATTGCAATAGTTGTATCATTAGTTTAAGACTGTAATTTCTATTAGTAGATTGGGATCTATGGCAAATGGGAATAGTTGTCTTTTACTCTTGCTTTGTACTGTATTTCATTTTAGTGTCAGGGCTTTATAGAGAAAAAGATAAGAAAATTCTAAAAAGGTCTTTTAAATATCATGAATCTAGTTAGAGTTTTTTATCCCTTTTATTTGTTTGATTGCCATGAACCTGTCTTCTAACTCATTTTTCTTCTAGGCTTGGGATTGGGAGATATTTTGAAGCCTGAATTCATTTTCCCGCTGATAAATGACCTGCCACTTGAACAACAACTAGCATCTTATTTACCTGAGGTTTGTTAATATGGCATCCGCTGTCAATATTTAATCCAATCAATGGTTTATCTATGAAACTAACTATGACCTTGCAGGGCACCTGGACAGCAGAGGATTTAATGGAGTTGCTTCAGAGCGCTCCTTTCCGCCAGCAAGTAGATTCGTTTACTTATGTAAGAGGAATTGTTCTTTTACTTATTTTCTTTGCTTGGGCCTCCATTTATTCCCTCCGATATTTTTTGGATATTTAGATGGACTTTAATTCTTCCCCTTGCTCACTGTAGGTTCTTCGAACTGGCCAGGTAGACCTTTCTCAATTTGGCATTGATGCAACTAAATGTAAGCAATCTGTGTTATTTCTCATCAATAGCCCTTGTTAACATTTTTCTAAATGACAAAAGCTGAACTAGCCAATTAGGATGAAGTTATTGAATGAAAGCACAGGCATTCTATACGAACACTGAGAAAGTGTCTTATGTTGTACACCACTTGTTGGAATCTCTTTTCTCATTTTTGCTGGTCAGAATTTCAAATAACGAATTCTTTGATGATTAAATTAACATTCTCTTCTAGAAAATTGTTTCCTTTGCAGTGTCATGTCACGTGTCAAATGTCAAAAAAAGTTTTGCAAATTAAGACTTGACTAGTGAGAAATTTTGACAGCTTTTTTTTTTTCCATTACTCTTATCAGACATAAGAACCAGCTTTTATTTTCTTAATATAGTAGCAGCTCCTGCTTCGGCTTTTGCAGCTTGAAAGCTTCCATTCTGTGAAGAGTATTGTTGCCTAACGGATTTTCTTTCGGGTAAAATACCAAAAAACTCACTGTGGTTTGACAAATGTTCAATTTAATACCCTCTGATTTGGAAATCTACACTATAACTCCCTGTGATTTCGATTAAATTGAAAATTGGACAGAAATCATCAAATCTAACGGTTGTGTGTGAAATGTCAATATTGCTCCTACCATATGTGAGATGCTTTCTATTCAATATTCAATTTAGTCGAAATCATAGGGAATTATAATGTAATTTTTCAAACCAGAGGGAGTTAAATTGAACATTCGACAAATCATAGGGAGTTCATTTATATAGGGGCAATATTGACATATCACATATAACCGTTAGATTGGATGTTTTCCGTCCAATTTTCAATTTAGTTGAAACCATAGGGAGTTATAGTGTAGGTTTTCAAATCAGAGGGAGTTAAATTGAACATTTAGCAAACTATAAGAAGTTTTTTGGTATTTTATCCTTTTCTTTTTGACATGTCTTTGTACTTAAATCCTAACTTTGTAGCTTTGGAATTCCAGCAGTAATAAAGTTACTATGTATTGATGTTAGATAAGTCTAGTGGTGTGAAGTTAAACCGCATTATGCTCAGACCTATTGATGTGCAGTTCTTGCCATCTCTCTCTGCCTTTTTGAAACTTATTCACTGCCCTTTGTTGCAGACAACTTCACTGTTCCATCTTTCCTAGAGGCACTTGAAGATTCTGTTACTAGAGTAGCAGAAGGCGAGGAGTCAAGGCGAGATGGCAGTGAACTGAGATCTCAAATGCATAATCAAAGTGAGCCAATGGACGAAGGTCAATAATGTTCAGAACACATCCATAATTGGTACATTCATTCAAGCCTCTAGAATTTTTGTGATTCTTGGCCGATAATGCCTACCCTTTAGAATATGTTAGTACTGTTAAGAAGGTGGAGAGCTTGGAAATTGCAACACATTTAGATGAAAGCTTGTGTGTAAAATTTGATCTGTCGAATCTGGCTTTTTGTACTTCAAAATTCTCTGACGTACTGTGAAGGGCAATTCACAATGGGTATGGATTTACTATTGCATACAAGACTACTCTCCGTTTCCTCAAAATCTTTGGATCCAATAGGGCTCTAGCTTTGCAAGAACATATACGCCTAGAAGGAGAATCATGTTCAAGACAAGAATCAATGAGACGAGATATGAAGCTTGTATCCTACTTTGCTGGTAACCTATTAACAAGAATCAGGACAATTTTTGTACTTTTCTGTGGCCTAGTTTTAATGGAAAGGTTAGAGAGTGCAGGTGAAATTAAGCATCTCTGCCACCCGCAAGCTATGACAGCTGAAACCTTAAATGTTTTCTTGATCCAAAATTTGAGGCATATATTCATGGCAAACTATGTCCAAGTATCCGAGGCCTGACTTTGGGTGCAGTGGTATGGAAGGTATACCGGAAAAAGAAGGCTAGGATTTTTGCCATTGGATTTATCTCCATTGATCTCTTCATTTATTTATATCTAAATTATTATAATTTAAAAATTCATTTGATCAGGCCACTACTTTTTCTTTTTGATTTCTTTGGCATTCAATTTGTACAAATATTTGAACAGTGAAAAATGACTCAATAAAAATTTGATAAATCAGACGACAAAAGTTGGTTAATTTCATATGATATTTTTTGTATAACTATAACACAAATGATGAATCATATTATAAATCAAAATTTCATTCGACATTTTTTGTATAACTAACGCAAATGATGAAACGTATTATGAATCGTGTTGATTTTCAAAAATAATTTTCAAATTAACTTTTTTATAGTGTCATGCAAAGAAGTTTTCTCCAATTCAACAGGTAGGAGCCTAGTTTTTGTGAAGTAGCAGTAGAGGCTTTCCCCCTTTTGTCAATCTTGAGAAGGCAATTAATGAGATTGGAGAAAAATAAAGAATTGATATCCTATCAGGATTTAAAGAGATAAGGCGACAAAGTGTTTTTCTCCATCACAGTGTCATGCTCAAAGCCATTAATCATACAGTCATTTCTTTGATCCTTAAAGTTGATTGTCCCACTGAAATTAAGCAATATAGACCTATTAACCTGTGCCAAGTGATTTATAAAGTTATAGCCAAAATTCTGGTCAATAGGTTAAAGCCTTTCCTCAGTCAATGTATCAACAAAAATCAATCAGCATTTGTTCTAGATGGTAAATACTAAATAATGTCATCCTGTCTCATGAGTTAATGCATTTTCTCAAAAATAGAAGATATGTTCGAGTTGGATTCATGGCTGTGAAACTGGATATGTCTAAAGCGTACGACAGGATGAAATGGAAATTCTTGAAAGCCATAATGAAAAAAATGAGATTTTGCTCCACTTGGATAGGCCGGATATTATTAGGGATGACAATGGAGCGGGACGGGGGACCATTGTCAAATATCTCCCCCCGTCCCGCCCCCGTCCCGTTTCCCCACGGTCCCCTGTTGCCTCAAGTTTCTGCTTTCCTCCATGTCAAACTCAAGACCTCGCTCCTCTTCTTCTTCTTCGAGTTCCCATCTTCAGAAGGATCTCAATTTCAAGCTCAGAAATAAACCCCTCCTTGCCAAGTCCGCCCCAAAATCAGCTCCTAATTCCTCCAAGCCTAGATCTAATAAATCAATTGCTAACGAAAATGATGTGCCCAAAAAATCGTCTTCACAAAGTTTTAGAAAGAACCCTTCTTTCCTTTCCCAGTGGCAATCCGCTAGAAGGCCCGCTTCAAAAACTTCTTCCCAAAGGTCGAAACTTTCTTCTGATTTGAGGGCAAATCTGAAGAGCCCAACATCTGGATGTTCTGGAAGATTTGGTGCTGGTAATCAACAACGATTGAAGCAGAAATATCAACAAAGTTGCGGTGAGCCTAGTTTGCATTTCAATGTTGCTGATGATTTGGTAGACGCTGACAATTTTACTCCTGTTGGCAAAGTAGCTAGTGGGCCTAGTTTAAATTATGCACTAGTTGTTGATGATGATGAGAAGTCTGCGGGGGAAGACTCAAACTCTGGTCATGGTTTGTTATTATGTGCAGAGAGGGTGTGAGAAGTATGGAGGTTCGTTTCTTCGTTTGTTCTTTTGTTACTTTTGTGTGTGTGTATATATATGTATATTTTTTTGGCGGGGGACGGGAACCGGGGGGGTGGGGGCGGGGGAATGTATCCCCGTCCCCCACCCCGTTTCTAGACGGGGGAATAAAATTACCCCCGCCCCCACCCCTACCCTAATCTCCGCCCCGACAGTCCCCCCGTGGGGCGGGTACCCGCCGGTCACCCGTCCCATTGCCATCCCTAGATATTATCTTAAATTAGTTCTGTTACATACTCTTTCAACATCAATGGTGAACACAAGGAGTATATTACCCCTACCAGAGGCATAAGACAAGGTGATCCCCTCTCTCCCTATCTATTCATATTGTGTTCAGAGGGATTCTCAAATCTCCTATAGAAAGCAAAGCAGGGAAAGGAGCTGACAGGGATAAAAATTAGTAGAGGGGCTCCAGCAATTACACACTTGTTCTTTGTAGACAATTCTCTAGTGTTTTGCAGAGCATGTACTTAGGAAGTTGATAAACTTAAAAAGATCCTAAAGGTGTATGAAGAGGCAACAGGACAGCTCATTAACATGGACAAATCAGCAGTCTTCTTTAGCAAGAACATGAGCCAAACAGTGAGGGAAGAAATCTGTCAGGTCATGGGATCAATGCAGCAAGTTAGCCAGGGTAAATACCTAGGTCTGCCTATGATCATAACCAGATCAAAAGAGCAAGTGTTTGGATTTATCAGGAATTCTATTGACAAGAAACTGCAAGGGTGAAAGAACAAATTATTGAGTCAAGCAGGAAAGGAAATAATGCTCAAAGCAGTGGCAATGGCTATGCCTATATATACCATGTCTTGCTTTAGACTGAACTCCAAGCTATGTAGAGAGATTAGTTCCAAAATGGTTAATTATTGGTGGGGGGAAGCAGAGGGAAAGGAAAAGATGCACTGCATTGGGTGGAAGAAGATGACAAAGGATAAAGAGGCTGGGGGATTGGGATTCAAAGACCTGCAAATGTTCAATAAAGCCTTATTGGCAAAACAAGTTTGGAAGCTGATTACCCAACCAAACTTGCTTGTCAGTAAGGTGTTGAAGGAGAAATACTATCCCAAGCAGTCTCTTTTCAATTGTAAGGTCCCCAATAATGCCTCTTGGATCTGGAAAAGTATTTCACCTGTAAGAATGGAAGTACTAGAAGGAATAAGGAGAAGGATTGGTAATGGCAGAGGAACAAGAATCTGGGAAGATATTTGGATCCCAAACAGGCCAGATGAAAAACCAACAACTGCTAAGCCACAAGAATGCCAACTGAAACAGGTCTCAGAATTGATCACAAATAGCAGGTGGAATAGAGTTCTCATCTTTAAGACATTCTGCCTTCAAGATGCTGAAAGTATTATGAGCATACCAATAAGTGTGACAGGAAGAAAAGATAGCTACTACTGGATACATGCTCAGAATGGTTAGTATACTGTACAATCTGGATACAAGAGATGGATGAAGGAAAGGGAACAGGAAGATGTAAATGCAGGAGAGGACGCTGGTCCAAGCTACAAAGGTACCTCCACTATTGTCTGGAAAGCACTGTGGAAACAGAATGTGAAGCAAAAACTGAAGGTATTCATCTGGAAATGTCTCCATGATGCTCTCCCAGTCAGAGACCTAATATTCAGTAGAACAAACAAAGGAAATCCCATGTGTGGAGGCTGTGGAGAAAGTGTGGAAACCTTAGAACATATGTTGCTACAATGTACGAAAGCTAAGGAAATATGGGAGATGGCTCCAGATCAGTGGGATGGTTTAGTGCACCTAACAGATAACTTCCAAAAGTGGTGGTCTGCTGTGATAAAAGCTCAAATGATCAGAGGGAATGATGAGCATATCAACCTCACAGTCAACATTCTCTGGCAAATATGGAAAGGCAGAAACGATAGGGAGTTCAATCAGAAGGATAAGGAACCTCACGGGATAATTGAAAAGGCTTCTATGGAGTGGATGGAATTTGAAGAGGCTAACAGAGGGAGGAATGAGAGAAGGATCATGTAGGAAACAGGAGTACAACAACGGGCTGAACAAAATCACGAAGCTGGGTGCATGAGAATGCTACTAAAGATCCATACCCAAATAGATAAAAGTCAGTCTACAGTGGGAATTGGAATTACGGCTACAGACTACTCAGGCCAACTACATGCAGCTTGGGCACTTAGAGAAAGAATGTCAGGAGATTCACTGCAAGATCAAGCGGAAGCTGTTAAACTAGCTCTAATGAATGCCGCCAATCAAGGTTGGAGAAACATAGAGGTGGAGCTGGACAACAGCAAACTGAAGGGATACATTGTGGACTCAAGACATAGTAGCTGACGGTTGGCAACACTAATAGAGGATATTCAGTCCATTAGCAGCCTGTTTCATCTGTGCTCCTTTTCATTAGCTAATACAGGGAAATTAGATAGTATTAAACTGAGCTTGCATGCTCTTAATAGCTGGTTTGATGAAGAATGGGTCAATCCCAATCTTAGATGCTAACGCATCAATGATCATCATGGGACAGTTGTCTCTTTTGTTTGGACCTTTGTCCAATTATTGTAAAGCTTTTGTGATAAAATATAAAACTAATGTTTCGACAAAAAAAAAAAAAAAAAAAGAAGACAAAAGTAAGGGTTTTTAATATTTTTTCCAAATGCCAATTTTTCCCACAATCATGGAACGTTAAAATGAAAAGGACCAAATGATCATAGGAAAGAACAATTTCTTTTGTCAACTGCCACGCGTGTGGCATAAACATATGTCTAGCAATCATAAGATGAACAAGCATATCAACAACTCTTTAAGTTTTCTCCTCTCTTTCTTCTCCTACTTCTTTGCTTCCCTATATTTTTCAGCTTGTAAGAGACGTACAGTTTTTCAAAAGTTGTTGAACTTCTGTTGCTATTTGGGAATGTAACTAGCTTCATTGCTGTTGTATCTAACCGTTCTGTCCAATGATGCTTGAAAATATGTTTTTTTGGCAATTTAAAGAAACAAATATCATTTTATTCAGGAGCAAATTGAGCAGAATAAGTCATAAAATAGGAGATCTTGGGACAGTTGTTTGCATGTCAACATGCGCTAAGCCAGGGAAATTCCAGGCTAACCGACTAAAGATGTTTGTTTCCTTTGGTTGGTTGGTTGTGAATTTGTGTTCTCTGTTTCTTTGTATCTAGCGAATCTGTGGAAAAAAAAAAGTTCCCCTTGGAATTTTCTTCCCATTCTCATTGATTGTCTTGTAATTAGAAAGGTGCAGTAACGAAAAGCTATTTTCTAGAAAGAATTTGCAGGAACTTTGATTCTTGTGAGTTCATGGCTTCCTGCCGTTCCTAGTGAACTGATTAAGCTTAGCTCACTTTATATATTTTTTTTCATAATGATTTTGTCAAACAGCAATTGCACTAATTTACTCTCTCTAATTAAATACCATAAGCGTTGCTGGAGAGTGGAGGGCAAAAATCCACCTCTAAACCAGACAGGTGCACTACTACACGAGCTAATATTGGACATAAATCCCAACCAGACAGGTGGCCAACTCGCATTATTCAAGCTGGTTAGCTTTGCTCATTCCGGTTTCTGCATATTATAAGCTCTATGGATGCTGTGTCTCAACTGGGAGCATTTTTTTTTTTGGGGTCCTTAAAACTGCATATACTTGAATCTTTGAGATAAAATGAAAAGAGTTCTTGCTTAATCCTGTCTATTACTTGAGCTGTTTACATCAGTTCATTTATGACCTTGCAAAGAAAGATGACAAGAAGTATGTAATCAACTCTTCATTAAGCACTTATTCTTCCATCATGAAACAGATCTATTTGCAGAAAGAACTGTGTCAGCATAAAATTTACATCTCAGTTCCACCATGTCATTGATAGGATTTTCACATTGACAACTAAGATACCTTATTGTCAAGTTTATTTATAATGTACATTTTCTTCTTTCATAATGAGACTCTTCTGGTTGCTCAGATCTAGAGTTAACATGATCACCTCCCAGGTTGCAATACTTTGTTGAGGTATATTCCTAGTGCCCATATGGGAAAGATGTTTCTGTAGGCTGAGTAGCTTATCATGCAGTTTCTATTGAACACACCTATAATTTCCTGTCAAAAATCGTAAATGAGCAAATTATACTTCTGTAGATTTATAGTAGTCAAATTATTGTGCTTTGGAGCACTCCAATGAGCGTGTGTTCTTTCCTTTATCCTTGCAAATGTAAACTCTGATGCATTATACCTGTTGTGGAAAGTCTCCAGTTTCCAATTGTGAGTTAATCAACACTTTTGCAGCACGGTGCAGAGGTATTGGATCTCTTTTGGCCTAGTCCATCGCATGTTAATGACAGAAAAACCGGTGACTTAGAATTAGATTGTGAAATCAATGTACTGTAAATTCTTCAAAATTTGATTCACAAATGAATGAGATAGGTACCTGCTCAGCTTCAATAAGACCCAACAGTGCCCATGATGTGCTTACGATGTGTGATTTATTCCCTTCAATTTCTGTATATACCTAATCAGAGATATGAAACACATTATAACAAGATCCTTTCCGTCAATTCTTCCTACATATTCGAAACATCAAAGGTTTGATGAAGAAAGATCTAGCAGAAATGAATCGAACTCACGTCCATGACATCCCTACTAACTTCACAACGATGCTTGTTTCGAGCTATTAACTGGTGTATTAGCAGAAATACAAAAACCTTTTCTCCCATGTTATGTTCTTAATGTGTAAAGCTATGGCTTAATCCAAAGCCTAGCAGAAATACCCCTATTGCTGCGGTAGAAGGTAAAAATAAGTAGTGAGTTTTTAGCACCTTCTGTCAGTATTCAAAGACACTGATATATATTCTTTTTACATAGAGGGATTCCTTCAATTTTGCTTTTGTACCACTTGTACTGTAATAAACTTATAGATATGTTAAAGCGAAAATTACTGTTAATCATTTACCTTGTTTTGACTAGAAAGATAGCTCTCTCCCCAACCACCAAAGCGAAGTTGCTTGGATAGTAAAAAATCACAAGCTTTTCTAATACTCTCAGAATTCTCATAGGTCCTTCCTCCTGCCAATAAGCCTGTTATGCCAAACCATGTACCGTAGGTGAAGCAGATTCCCCAAGATCCATACCTGCATTTAAATTTGAGTCATGCACTTAAAGAATGTTAAAAATCAAACAATGTGCTTTGCGGATTCAACATAGGCTAACAATAATTGCATGCAGTAGCAGAGTTCAATTATCCATATTGCCAGCATGTTGATTTTCCCTCGTCTGGTTTTCACAGTTTTACTTGGAGCTTGCTGCATATATTACTAGGCATTGAACTGTCAACCTTTCAAAGAAGTTGCGACATCTGAATGGAAGAAAAGAATTACCATGAGCCATCAGAAAGTTGTATGCTTTCGATGAAATTCAATGCCTTCTGAATACATGCTTCTATTTCTTTACTACGATATCCTGGATATATTTTCGTGAAAAACTTGAGAGCCTGAATTGCTGCTGAAGTGCACTCTACATACCTATATCAAGAAACTTTCAGCTCAGAAGTGAAGAAAAGTTTCTGCTTCATAACAAATGAATATGCTTTGTTTGTAACATGGTCCTGTTTAAGCATCTGCCTCTATCACAGATTTCATTAATTTTGTTCTCTTTGACGCATCAAGACAGTAATTTCTTCAGTTTAGAAAAGTTATGTCATGAAAGATCATGAATACCAAGTATATGTGGCTAATCTTACTGGTAATCAATGACGATATCTCCGAATGTTTCTGCTGGGTTGACCATCTACAAGGCAAACATGGTAAAAGCAGCACTTGAATCAAATGCAAATCCATTATTAAGTAACAAGCACTAAAAGTTGCATCTTAAGTACCTCCAACCAAGCATAGGATCTTGTGAGCTCATAGGAAGCAAAACCTCCACTAGTATTCTGCCATTCAGAAGTGTCTGTGAGACAGATTAGTCACATTTTTTCTAGGTAAGAACTAATACTATATCATCTTGCTTCATTCTTAATAGGATGAATAGCAGTCGTGAAAGAGATTGTAAAATTAATATTCAGGGGCAAATGACGGAAATGGAGTTTGAATCACATTGAATCGAATTCATAGTCCTCATACATTTTAAGAATGCACTTCAATATGTGCACTGACTATGAATAGGTGAGAGAGCTTTTTGAACAATTGTCTTGAGACTTGTACACTCTTATCGCACTCCTGCAGTTATAACATCTAGATTTGCTTGTATATTTCCAAAAATCATATTCTATCTTACACCTAGCACAGAATTAACTGGCCATTTCACGTTCCAAGTGTTTTTGAGTTTTCCTCCTATCAAACAAAAAGAATGCGCATTAAAGCTCAATGGACTGTAATAGATGACTGAAGAGAGACATAATACCTGGTAGGAGAGAAGCACGTTAACAGCATCATACAGCTTTTCTTGTTCAATTGCTTCTCCAGCAACATCATATGACATACGCGACAGCAATAGAGCAGCCTGCATGTGAGTTGGAGATTATACTCTTGTAACAAAAGGTATATAAGTTTGAGAAAAGATGACATATCAAACATGCATGTTAGCTCTCCATCCCTCAGTATTGAGTTTCATCTTCTTTCAATGTGCTAAAAAATTGGATAACCAGCCTCTGAAATTCTAGACTTGGTAAGCCCAAGGTTACAATTTGTTTTGTATTTTGATAACAGCAAACTTTCAATAGAATCAAAATAAGCAGAAAACGTTTTAGTTATGGACATGCTTCAGCTGCAGGTGAAACTCATGTGTAGAGGAAAGAGTTATAATTCCCAGTTGTTCGGTCATTACTAAATGGTCTTACTGCAAGTAACGTCAGTGGAAGTAGAACCACTCAAATAAGCATGCCTCCTTTTGCAGTTGAAATCAAATAGAATATCTTGCAAGATAAAAATGGGATTCTGAGAATAAACAGAATCTAACCTTCAGGCCTTCTGCAGTGGTATCTGATACCGGCCAGCCATTGTCTGGAGTGGAGAAGGGCCAT